GCAATCTTTTTAAGAAGCCCTCCAGTTGATTCTGATCCATGCTAAAGTTTGAGAACCACTGTAAAAGACCATTAAAAAAAATCAAGGAAAAAACAAGCCAGAGAACATTTGAACATTCCTCCTAATACAGACACCTGCTACTATTTTCTCCCTGCTTGGCCACTACTTTTGGTCAGATGGTGTGTTGCTGCAACTTCTAGGGCCAGAACAATCCCAGCCCCTAAAACAAAGATGGTGTAGAATTTTGTCTTTTGGCCGGTCAGTGCTGGCCATGGCCTGGTTGTTCTTTCCTCTTGACCACATTTCTCAGCCAGGGCTGAGGGCCTGCTGTATTCTAAGATTTTGAGAGTGGTTGTGGGATTTGAGAATCTGAGATGTGGATTCACCCAGAGCAGGGTGGTGGAGATCATTGATGAATACTTACAGATGATTCATCTCTACGAGGGGGTGGAAATATCTTGAGCCAAGGGGGAGAAAAATTGCAATGGCCTTATCACAGATCCAAGGATGGAGGACGACATTTTAAAGGCCTGAGCAGGGATGCGTGTGCTCTAGGAATCAGGTTCATTCAGGATCATATCTGTTAATCATTTTCTTTATAGTCCAGCTTTTGGGATTATGCCTGGAAAAACTTTGTCCCATTTTTTCTTTTATACTTCTTTTATCTGTTTTTGTTTTTTGTAAGCTTTCTGGACCCACTTGGAATTTATTTTGGCTTGAAATTGCATGAAATGTATAAATTTGTAGGACACTGACATCTTCGTAATATCTAGTTTCCCATCTACTACATCTCCTCATTATTAAAATTTTCTGTCTTTTGGTTTTTTAAAATTCATAGAAGTGCCACACATTTTCAAAGTTTATCCCTAGATATTTTTGTTTTGTTTTTTGCCATTGCAAATGGGATCTTTTGTACATTATATTTTCTAACAGGTTATAGTTGGAGGAAAGCAATGATTGTTGTAAGCAATTGCTGTATTTTGTAACTCACCGCCTTGCTGAACTTTGAATTCCAATAGTTTTTCAGGTGATTCTCTTGAGTTTTCCTCTTCTCGCCTGCAGGTAGTGCTTCTCCGCTGGTGTCCAGGATATTGCACTGCGCTCTTCCTCCAGGAACACACTCTTCTTTGCTGCTTTTCTTCTTTTTCTTTAGATCTTTGCATTCTCCACACTTCAGTCCTTCAACCACTCAATGCCTAGTCTCTTCCTTAGAGAGTTCATCCCCTTTTTAAAAAGTTTCAGCCTCAATGCCAATGGCTTCTATGTCTATTTTGAGCCTTGACTTTAATTCTAATGTCCAAAACTATACTGGATTTTCCTAGGACCTTGCAAAATCTGCTTATCTAAAACTGAATAACACGACTGCTCTAGGATTCCTTTATACCAGTTGTGGTATCCACTTCTTAGCTGTTAGGTTTAACATTTTTCTTTGATTCCTTTTTCTTTCTCATTTCCACTTAATTATCTTGTCTTCTTTCTTCTTCCTTTCAAATGTCCCATACTCGTCTATCTTTTCCTTCTCGTCACACTTGAGTCCAGGTCATTTTCATTCCTGTGAACCATTACAACCACCTGCCAACTCGTATTCTTGTTCCCAATCTCCCCTGCACCATTGGTTCATCTAGTCAACAGTTGCTGAGCTCCTCCTGTGTGCCAGGGATTGTGCCAGGTGCGAGGAATTTACAGAGCAAGGACAGGGCCCTGCTCTCAGCAAGTTGAAATGAATGGAGGAAACAGGCAACCCAACAATATTGTGTGGTGGGAGTGCCATGGCACAAATGTAACACCAGGTGCCACCAGAGTATAAAAGAGGAAGGCCTAGGGACTGCTCTCAGGAAAAGAGATGCTTGAGCTGAGTCTTACAGGCTTAGTATGAATCGGCCAGGAATTCAGCCTTCTGAGATTGTTAACTCTTTGTTTGACCAGACTCTTTTTTGGGAATTTTTTTTTCTCTGAATGCAAATTTTCCCTATATCTTATTTATTATAGTAGACTTTATGGCTCTTAAAATGCTATTTTGACATTTCAATCATTGTAATTCAAGCATAGAATCAAATTTCAAGCTACCAAATAACTATAGTTACTGAAAAGCTAAACCTCAGGTATGAGTTTGCTAATCTTTTCCCCTGCCACAGCTGCAGACTCATAGCCCAAACACTATACTAGCTGGATGGTTGTGATAGCATTTCGGAGATCAACAAGGTTCTCATAGATTTGATGCTGTTCTAGCCTATCTACGGACCTGTAATCCGACAAAGTCAGGCTTATTAACCCATTGTAATGAGGCAGGCTACCCACCAGAGGAGCAAAGGATGGAGTTAATAAAGGATTTAGGGGAAGAGGGGAAATAAAATTTAAATGAAGCAGTTTTTTGACAGGCTAAAAGCAAAACAGAGCTCATGTAAAGGGGTCAATGTCAGGTCTAAATTGTGAAGTGGCCTGAGTGTTGTTTCCTGGAAAGTACAAAGTTTAGGTGTGGAATGCTGTGTCCACACCCCTTTCCTGGAGCTTTGTACCTGGGTTGTAAATCACGGCTGCTTCTCTGTGTCAGAGTGACTTGGATTCTCCAGTCAGGAATGGAATATTTCATTTCTACAGATAAAATTTCAAACAGCAAAGTTTCTGGTTATCTCTAATTTTAGAGAACAAAAACTGTCTGTGAGTTAGAAAGCAGGAGACACACAGGAAGGGGCTGGTTTTGATACTTTACAGCTGTGATGTGTCACTGGGAGAGACACTTTCTCGTTATCTTGCAGCTGCCTTTATCTGTGTCTGTTATCCTAGCCTGGAAAATGGCAAGGCAGAGTTTTAATTTTCTCAGTGATGCCAAATTTTAACTTTTTCAGTGCTCACATTACAGTAAAGCAGGATCTGTAGACAAGAGGCAGAGGGGTCTGATGACGGCCAGTGCTCCTCAGTGAAGCTTGTGCTTGGTGGGCTCAGCGGCCCCGGCATCAGCTGCTTACCTCTCCAGGGGGAATGGAAATACATGTAATCGTCTGTTTATGTGTCTGTGCTGGGAGCTTCTTGAGAGCTTCTGGGCCTTTCAAAGATTCCCTTTGTACTCCCAGCGCCTGGCACACAGTGTTGAGTGAACTCACGGATGAGTCATCAGGGTTGCTCACCCCTTGAGCAAGTTTTTACCAGTCTGCTACTCGTTCAACCTATCAACATAAGGTGGAGGTAGCAAGTGCCCCCTGTTGCCTCACCAGCATGTCCCCAGAATCCCAAGGACTGTAAAAGTGCCTTTGACTCCTGGTGTCGCTTGATCAGCGAAGAATGATGGAGAAAGTTGTTTGCGTGTGTCAAAATCAGCTAACTTGAGACTTCATGCAGAGCCTTAAGTCATGTTCTGAGCTTCTTGCAGAATCTCTGGCCCAGCCAAGGCCTCTCCTTTAGCTGTGGAGGCTTGGCACCAATGCTCCCTCCCTGCGAAGCTGCCGTGGGAAAGTGTCATGATGCTCTCCCGGAACATCCTTAAATAAGATGCAAGCAGGTAAGCAACAGTCATGGATTTTTCAACTCACAGGATTTACTTATTTATTTATTAGGAAGATTTGCCCTGAGCTAACATCTGCCGCAAATCCTCCTCTTTTTGCTGAGGAAGACTGGCCCTGAGCTAACATCTGTGCCCATCTTCCTCTACTTTATACGTGGGACACCTGCCACAGAGTGGCTTGATGAATGGTGCATAGTTCTGCCCCCAGGATCTGAACTGGCGAACCCTGGTCTGCCAAAGGAGTGCACGCAAACTTAACTGCTACACCACCGGGCCAGCCCCTCAACTCACAGGATTTAAAAGTAGTGTCATATTTAAATAAATTCAGCCTCTTTAACTTCATTGGTGTGCAATCCATCTGTTGTAAGAGTAGCCAACATGAGTCACTTTAAAGGTTCTCAAGCTGAGTTACTTTTTCTTGGCTTTTCAAATTTCCAGATAAGGTGTGTGTAACTCAGGATTCCTACACACATGGAGAAATGCCAGCTTTTGCAGGACATTAGGTACTTGGGCCAGAGATTGCCTTTCTCCCTTTTCTGTGGTAAGCTGCTTTATAAAGTAACTTCAGCTTTTAAGCATTCAGCTTCTGGTTCAGAATTATCTTATTGAATCAAATATAGCAGTCCCTGCTTATTAACTGTCCGCATCCACAATGCAACGTAATACACCAGTTGCCAAGGCGGTTTTCTGCTATGTAACAATATGATAAATAATTCATAGGGAGGATCATAGTCTGTCAAAATATACCTTGTGCCTTCTTTACTCTACTTTATATGTGGGATGCCTACCACAGCATGGCTTGCCACGTGGTGCCACATTGGCACCCAGGATCCAAACTGGCAAACCCCGGGCCACCGAGAAACGTAACATGCACACTTAACTGCTGCGCCACCAGGCCGGCCCCTGCTTAATTTTCTTGAACATCTAAGCAAGTCTTCCCCCATCTTCTAACTGCCTCTTGATGAATCACTCCCTGTGGTCAATCCTATCAGCAGATAATTCATCCCTTCCATGTTTTCCTAGAACCACCCCCCCGCAACCCCCCACACTGGAGTCCTCAGTTTTGCTCTGCCTCTCTCTCTAGCTTGCTATAGACCTGCCTTTCTGGGACTTCTCTTCTGCCATAATACAAGAAATTCTCTTTATTTCTCTCCTATGTTGGATCTTACTTCCTGGATTCTGTGTCTTACTCATTTGTGATTTAATCCCTCACTTTTTGCTAAAGCATATCCTCCAATACCTGAGAAAGGGTGGATGGGACCTAATATGTAAAATGACTTTTTTCTTTCATCACTTTTAATTGAAAGTTTGGCCAGTTAAGAATTTTTTTTTATTTTTTTGTGAGGAAGATTGTCACTAAACTAACATCTGTTGCCAATCTTCTTTTTGCTTGAGGAAGATTGTTGCTGAGCTAACATTTGTGCCAATCTTCCTCTATTTTGTATGTGGGATGCCGCCACAGCATGGCTTGATGAGTGGTGTGTAGGTCTGTGTCCAGGATATGAACCCACAAACCCCAGGCTGCCAAAGCAGAATATGTGAACTTAATCACTACGCCACTGGGCTGGCCCCCTGGTCAGTTAAGAATTTTGATGAGAAATAATTGTCACTAAGAAATTTAAAGGTATTCTAGTATCCAAGGTTGCTATAAAAAATCTGATGCCTTTTTGATTCCTTTTCTTTGTATGTGACAGAAGCAGATGCTGAAGTGGCCCTCCCCAGTCCCCATCTCTGCATGCCAAAGGCTTCTTGCTGTCAGTGCCCGGGAAGCTCTGTCGAGCGCTTTCTCTAGCCCAACGGGCCTGCAAGACCCATGCCCTCTGCATGAGGAAGTGCCAGGCAGTGTTACTGCCTTCGGAGTAGCCCACAACCAATGATGAAAGGAGTTGGTGGCTAATACCCCTTGGGTGGGACAGCCCTGAACTGTTTTCTATACGGTCTCCCGTATAGAACCCCAGTTGCCCATATTAAAGCTTCTTTTCTTTCCCTGTTTCACTTCCCGCTTCCTAACTGAGGTTTCTGTGGAATCATCTCTCGAATAAACTACTTGTCCTCAAATCCAAGGTGTGCTTCCAGGGATACCTAACCTAGGACCAGGCCTGTATCCACCCCTCTTCTCTTTTTGCCTTGATCTTCTGAAATTTCACAGTGATGTGTCTTTAGTTTTTTTTTAATCCATAGAATCGGTCACTCAGATGGCCCCTTCAATCTGGATCTTCAGCTGTGGAAGAGTTTTCTTTATTTCTTTATAATTTCCTTCCCGCTAGGCTCTGTTGTCCTTTAGGATCTCTTGCCAGATGTTGGACTTTCTGGATTATTCTCATTCTCTTAAGTTTTCTTAAGAAAATTAAAGGATAAAATTTTTTGGACAAAATTTTGTTCGCCTGTTTTTTATTCCAGCCAGGATAAGCACTGTTCATCTCTTTGTCATTTTGTTCTTTCTGGGAGATTTCCTCAACTTTACCTTCTAGTACACTTACATTGCTTTTTATTTGGGCTTTCTTGTTCGTTCATGCAAAGGTAACTTTTTTTCTGATTGTTACTTTTGTAACATCCTTTTCTTGTTTTATGAATGTTATTTCATTCACGACTCTGAAGATATGGGTTTGAAATTTCTTCTGCTTTGAGTTCCTTCTTTCTGTTTGCTTTGGTGTCTATCTTTCACGAAGGAAGCTTCCCACCCATGTCTAGTGATCCTTGACTGTTCACACTGAAGGATGAGGCACCAAGCTGATCGGACATTCTGTGCGCCTGGGTGGGGCTTGTTGAGGGGTGAATTTTACTATGGTGCAGGGACTTAAGAGTTCACTATTTAGGATCATAAGTTTTGCTTAATATGTCTCTTTTGAGCTGGTACCCCCACACTGTGCTGTGCCTAGTATCCCAAGCCTAGAGCATCTCAGTTTCAATATCTCCAGAGAAAACTTCCTGTTTCCTGCAGGGTCAGGGGAAAGGGAAAGTCATGTGGCTTTTCAGGGTGGTGATGAGACCTGGTGTCAAACAGATACTCACACAGCCTTTCAACCAATTCTCTTGTCCTCAGCATCTCGTCTCACTCCCTTGCCTCTCCTGTAGAACCCAGTATTTCCAATTCCTGACGTGGCCAAGAATTCTCAGCTTTGGGTTTTCCTATGTACAGGTTATAAAGAGAAACGACTGAACTGAGGAAATCATCATATTGGAAATATTTCTAGATTTTACATACCAAATACAGGACTGATTGCTGTATCTTATTTTGCTATATCCTAGTTCAGGATCTCATCAGCTACCACTGGAACGGCATTTCACTAATTATACCCCATTGAACCTTAGTGTTTTGCCCGGTATTAATAGGTGTTCTACAACAATCATGACCATAACAGCAAAGGTGCTTTGGTCAAATAAGTTTGGGACCCATTGGGTTTTTAGTGCAGAACTTCAAAGAGCAGCGAATACGCTGAAGTATGTTATAACTCTCCAAGAAGACCTTCTCCTCTCTTTCTTTTGAGAATACCAGTGTTCCTTGGAACATGTTGGGCAATCTTGAACTGGATCATTTCAATCACTTCCTAGTGGAGTTTTCTCTGTCTCCATTCTCTCTTATCCTAAACCCATGATTTATATTGTTTCCACACTTTTATTTCTAACTCACAATGCCAATCTTGGCATTTCACTTCTCAGCAAGCTTCCCTATTTTCACGTACAATACAGTCCATACTTAAGATCCTGAAGACCTTGCATAAGTTGACCCTAACGGATTTTCCTACCTACTCTTCCAACATTTGCCTCATGCACCTGCGTGGTTCAGCCAGATCAAGCACGAGTCTTACCTCAGGCTCACAGAATAACTGAAAGGACCGCTCCTGCTCTTCCTTCACCCAGAATGCTCTTCCCTTCTCTCTGATCATCCTTGGTGAAGCTTTGCCTGACTCACTTCCTTCCCCAGTCACTGCACACATTGGAAAGACTTATTCCCGCCTCTGTGCTTCCGCCATTTTGTTTGTGGCTTACTGCATTCAGTCTCTTGGCTTGTTGTCTCACTAGCGGAGTCTAAGATCACCCCTCTCCACCCAGGGCAGAGCAATGTTATTCTCGTCTCATAATTCTAGTATGCATCTTGGATTGGGTAAATACCCAATGAAAGCTCATTCTAAAAGAATTAGAAATTGAAGCACTCTCTGGGGATCTAATCTGAAACAATAAGAGGTAGCTATAATTAACATTATTGAGGAGCTGATTCCCAGTTTCTAGGTTATCTGAGCACCTTATTAATCTTCCCCATCTAGGTGGCTTTTCAGCAGCCCTTCTAGGTCAGGGCAAAAGGAAACTGAGAGTGAGATTATTATAAGACTTCCTGCTATTTAGTGATTTTTAAAAATTAAGTATTTAGTAGAAAAAAGGTGGAACTTGGGGTTTTAGATTCCATCAATGTTATTTATGTGTTCCTATCCCTCACCGGCACAAATAATCAAAATCTGGTTGCATGTTGCCAAATGCATCTTTTGTTTATTCAACCCCTGAGGCAGTAGTTCCAAACTCTTTCTTATCGACACCCTAAACTGGTAGAACACTGTCACACCGAGGCCCAAAAGGAATCTAAAATTAGAGTTTATCTTAAAATAAGCATGATAAATTTGAGTGTCATAAATTAAAACACCCGCAAAATCTAACTCTGATACCCAGATCAATGTGGTTAAGTTTGAAGCAGAAAATTCATCAGGAAGAAAGATTTTATGCTAATTCAAAATGCAAAAACAGTAATTTGCTCGTCCTGCAGGACGCCTGTATAATCAGTCCAGGCTGCCGGCTTCCCAGCGCTGAGCAGATGTGGGTGGCAAGAGGGTGGGCCTCCCAGTCAGTCTGGCAAGTTGGCTGGCCTCTTCTAGAAAAGCTTTCTTCCATGATGCACCCTTTCCTGGTTCTCTGCCTGTGTCTCTGGCCTCCCCTCATCAGTCTCTTGTCGGCTCTTCCTCCGTGTCCTGACTTACATGTTGGAGTTGGAGTTCCCTGGGCATGGCCCCAGGCTCCCTCTTTGGGCTCCAGACACGTACATCCAATGGCCCACGTGGTTTCTCTACCTTGATGCCTCATAGGCACCTCAAACATATCATGGCCCCTCAGCTCCCCTGCTGTCCCCCTTCCCCTCTGCACACTTTACCTGGATAACTTCTATTTACCCTTCAGGCTTTGCCTTTGTTCAACAGATATTGACTGAGTGCCTAATATGTACTTACATGTCTCATTCTCCAGGAAGCCTTGTCTGATGTCCCAGATCAAATTAGGTGCCCCTGTTGTCAGGTAAACCATGTTCTTCCCATTACAGCATTTATCACAACTGAAGTTACATGATTTTTTAATATGTCTGTCCCACTAAACTTAAGATCCACAAGAGCAAGGATAATATCTGTTTCTCAGTGTATCCCCAGTGCCTAGGATAGTGCTTGGTATACAGTAGGTGCTCAATAAATGTTTGTGGAATGCACGAACGTGAAAAGATTTAATGGAATTGCTTATAACCTAGTTGAGGAAAGACAACTTTTTACATGCAACAGATGTTTACAAAGCAATGGTGACAAGGAAGTGGGTAGACTATATGACTTTTAATGCCCTGTCCGATCCGGAGACTCCATGATTCTTATCCTGACATCCAGTTACCGTAGAGCACTTTATGTCCTGAGGTAACGTGAAACAAAGGTGTGATGAAAGTCGGGTTGGGTCATTCGGGGATATTTCCTAATCCAAATAGATAAACGTAAAGCTCAAGTTAAAGCAGGATTTCTCAGTCTGGGTACTGTTGACATTTGTGTGCCAGATAATTCTTTGTGTATGGGGTTGTCCTGTGCATTATAGGATATCTAGCAGCATCCTGGACTCTACCCATTAGATACCAGTAGCAACCCCAGTTCTGACAACCAAAAATGTCTCCAGATGTTGCGAAACATACCCTGGAGGGCAAAATCACCCCTGTATGAGAACCACTGAAGTACCAGAGGAGAATAAATGGGATTGCCTGAGGAGAAGCTTTCTGGAGGATGGCATTTATAGAGGCGCTGAGTTGGGAAGGAGCAAATCATGCTTAGGAAAGGGCAAGATTCTCTTGGTGGAATGGGAAGTACCAGGATAAAAAGCTGGGCAAAGCTAGGGATGTGGGCTGAATTCTGTTCATAAAGGGGCATCAATATGTGTTTGAAAAATGCAAGTTCTGTGGAAGTAATAAGTATGAAAGTCAAGGGCAGCCTGCTAATGAAATAAAGTAACAAAATGAGCTCCTTGGGGAATGGGTGGTGCTCCTTGTTGGGTGGGTGCCTCCTGTCTGGGTTCCGGTGGCCCCAAATGACACTTCATCAGAGCAGCTACACCCAGGAGGCGTCTCTCAGACTAGACAAGTGCTCCTGAGGGTCCAGGCCAGTCTTCCTGGCACTGCGTCTGCCCAGCACATTGATGAAGTTCATTAAATAAACTCTTAACTGGGCTGATCTGAGAAGGATGAAGGAAGAAGCTGACCAAGAAGCAAAGAAGGGAAGGTAAGAATCTTCTAGTTTTTTGGTTAGATGTACATCCTATAAAGTACTTAGAATATTAGTAAATCAGACACATCCTTTTTTTTTTTTTAAAACAACTCCTTGCTAGTCATCAGATTTCTATCTTTATCTCAGGCTAGGACAGGAAGGTGATGATTTCTGGCATAATTAGTCATGACTATTAGGTGTTCAAGTGTGACATATTTTTAATATTTTTTAAGTTGGGGAGTGATATCATAGAAACTTCTGTATTTTTAAAAACATGACTTTTCCCCTGCAACATTCAATGTAAATATAACATGACACTATTTTTAAAAATACACATATCACAATAATTAATTTTATTCTTAATAGCAGTGACTTTGGGAAACTGTCCTTATTTTCCTGATGCTATTGTTGCTAAAATATCCTATGAGTTCTTCATTCTTTTATTTATTCACTCGACAAATATTGCTAGGAACCTCGTTGGTCGCTAGGCACGACTAGGACATAAAGATGAAAAGACCTAGGGCTTGTCCTGTAGGAGCTCACTGAATGGTGGGCACGACAGAGACAGTACAGTGGCAGTGACAATGCAGGCAGCAGGTGCTCTAGGTGATGGGTGTGCCAGGTGCTGTGTCCCTGTGCAGGGAGGGAGGTCTGTTTGGGGCCTGAAGAAGATGGTGACGGCAACAGGAAGGAGCAGACGGTAGACCTGACACCTGAAAGCTGAGCTGGAGTTCCCAGGAGGAATAGGAGTGGGACTCGGTGCTTTCTACAGAGGCAATAATAGTTCTTTCATTTGGGCACAGAAGATGGAGAGAGAGCACATTCCACAGAGAGCAGTAATAGTTCAGTGTGCATGGGCGAGAGAGGGCAGAGCAGAAGCATGAAGAAACTTGCCCGTCATGTTGAGATGATGCAAAACCATGGAAAGATTATTGGAAAGTGCACTCTGGCAGTAGTGAGGAAGAATTGGATTCGGGGACAAGACAGGAAGAGGAGGTACGAGGCTGATTCTGTTCATCTGCACAAACTGTGGGAGGTGGCTGAGGGAACTGTGCACCCCCAAATTTCTTAGAGGGGAGTTGAATTCTTTGATCATTCTCAGAACGGCATAGAATTATTCCTATATGTGAACTGTATATGTACATGGTGAGATGTAGCCCACAGTTCCATGTATTCTGCAAAAACCCAACAACTCAACATTTTTCATCAAGATGGAAAATGAACCCTGGTTTCCCTTACCCTCCACCCAACCAGAAAACATGGTAGTCATGCCACACCTTTGGTTAATCCACGTGAGAATCGATGGTTAACCTAAGTTAGGGACTGGAAAGGAAAGGAATGAGGTGGCCAGGACAATGGAGTGATTCAATGGTTAGGGAAACGATTATAGATCTTTATCAGTAATTTTAGGTGAAGACAGAGACTACTCCAGGATAATTCCTGTATTTCCAGCCTGATCGCTAACTTTTGAAATTGCCTTCTGAGTTCTTTCATGGGCCGAGAAGATTAGTTTCATTCCATACTCATTCCACAGAGCATGAAAGATGACTCATTTAGTCATCTTTTTTACTTATTCCATAGAGCATGAACCAGTTTGATAACACACATAACTCATTAGATTATTCTGTAATTGACTTTGGGATATTTACAAAGGATCTACTTTCAAAGGATAAGGTTTAGCCCCAGGAAGGATTTCCAGGAGAGCATGCCCAAGCTCTGTCCTATTCTTCAAAATGTTTTCTTCTTTTATCTGCACCTGAGAAAACATTTATAATTGGAAAAATTTAGTGAAAGCTCAGTCTTGAACTGAGCTAGCATGTTTGGTATTCTGAAGAGGCCGGTCCTTTCATGTTTTCTGAGCCTCTGGGTCAAGCACTTTCCTCTGCCTGGAATGTCTCCACATGTCCCCTCCTCCCCATTTCCAACTTCAAGCTGGGAAATCGTACACACCTTTCGAAGCCCACATCTCCTGCCTTCCTGACACCCTCACATCAGGAGTGTCACATCAGGAAAAATCACTGCCTCTTCCGGACTGTTTTCTCCAGTACAATCTGTGCTCTTTTACCAGAGGCCCTACATGCCCATCTTTGAGTTGCCGTCATTCACACACCTGGATACAGCGTACGTTTCATTCATTTGGTTGAGTTGTAGAACATTCATAAATGTAGTGACCAATGTTCCATCTGCCTGGGAAGGTTGGAACCCAGAGCCTACCATGAGGAAGCCACATGAGGGTGCCCAGCCAAGGATCTCATGGCACCTGGCAGCAACAATAGGTGGGCACCAGGGAGGACTGAAGTGGAAGAAGGATGGGGCTGGGGTTCAGGACCAGGATTATTGCTGCTGGAAGGCCTACGGGGACAAGATGGACAGGGACCCAGACAGGAACTTGGCATGGTGTTGGGGAAGCGGGGGAAATGGGGCTACTGGGATGCTTTAGGAGGGGACTTAGGGACAGAGATAAGGCATTACCCAAAATGTGAAACAAAAATCAAGTGATGAGCCAAATTTTGGCACAGACTGCAGCTGTCCCTACATTTTGAAAGAGCAGGGAATTCTTAAATTTGAGAATGAAAACTTAAGCTGAATCTTGAAGAACACGATTTGGTTATATAGAGGCAAGTATGAAAGGAATTCCAGGCATAAAGGTGGGAGTACACATGGAGTGTTTATAAATGGAGAGGCCATTTGAGTGTGGGACCAAGCAGGACCACCTGGTTACTATGGAGACTACAGTAACCAGAAGGGTGCAGTCCAACTGTGGAGATTCTGGAAAGCACAACAAAGGAGTCTGCACCAAATGCAGATGGAAATAGGGGACCCCTATGCTTTTTGAGCAGAAGGAAGAGTGATAAGGACAGCCATGTGTTGGGGAGATGGCGTGAGTAGTTGATTGAAGCCTGCAGATCCTGGACTCCTGGAATTGCCAGGAGACATTGATAATCAAATCTGAGCTGTGAGGCGGGAGAGGCTGCAGCCAGGTTTTCAAACTTGAATCTCAGTTGGTGTGTGTGCTGGGGATACTTGAAACCACCATATACACAATTTCCATCTTCCTGGAACATAAGATTCATTTGGGAGATTTTGGGGGAAAACACTTACATGTTGAAACAAATGCAGATATGTATTTTCAGAGTAGAATGCAAATTTAGAATGAGGTCTCAAATAAATGTTGTGTCTGTTCTTCGAGCTGGCCCCTCCAGGCTATCCCCAGCCCCTGGCCTCAAGGGAGAGCTTGCTCCCGTGCCTCTTGGGGTATCTCAGCGGTAAAGGGTGAGAAGATCAGTGGAGATATTCTCTGTGGTGGCTGAAGGTCAGGGGCTAGCACTGACTGGGGCAGCAGAGCCAGGAAATCCCCCTCTATTTTGTGCCAACTTTCCTCCTCGCTGTCATTGGGTCAGCACTCCACTTAGACGGAAAAAGGGAAACTCTCAACTTTGGACATCACCCACTAGTGTTGTGTTCATACCTTTTTGTTAGTGCCATTCCTACTCCAGAGCAGAACCTCTGCTGAAACTTGTCCACTGTGGGTGACCCTGCTGGTATTTGAAATACCGGTGGCATAGCTTTCAGCATCAGAGCAACATGCAGCCGCCACAGTATGACAACCGACATACGGCTGGTATGGGTCCCTGACTGGGAAATGAACTCAGGGTGAGAACACGGAATCTTAACCACTAGACTACTAGGGCTGGGTTCCATACCATACCTGAGTGTTACTTTATGCCATGTTAAAAGCTTTTGCTACTTTATTTGTTGGAGGAGTGGAAGTTCTTAGGTATCAAAAATTTCTGTTACGTAAGACTTACACATGTGGACCTAGAAATGGATGTAGAAAGGATTGTTTAATGTAAACAAAGTGTAGTCAAGCAGTCATACAGATGCTAATTTTAAGTTTTTTCTGGATTTCCTTAGAGACTTAGAACAAAATGGCTGGAGCGAAGTACTTAAAATGAGAACAAATTAGAAGGATAACTGACAGTAGTTCATATACTTATTTTATCCATATTTCTCTAAGAACTTCAAGCTTTCTTCCCCCTTCCTCTACTCTTATGAATGATCACACAGTATTACATGCTTGTAAGAACAGCTAAAGGATATAGAATTATGTAAAGTAAAAAGCGGCCTTTTTCCCTTCGCCCTTCAGTCTTCCTGGCCTCAGTTGCTGTAAATGTTGTGTATTTTTAAGGACACACTTTGGGACTTCCTGGGCCACCAGGTAATTTTCCAGCTTCTGGGAGATTGCAGAGAACATAGTGCACAAAGTTGAAGGCCTCCTAGATTTTTCTCTTTACACATTCTCATACATTCATCAAATATTCGAGCACCTCCCTTGTTCGAGGCATTGGGGTCCCTCCACGCACAAACCAGACAATGTCATCATGGCCTATATCCTGTTCTGCAAGTCTTTTCCCTTTGGCTGTGCCACTTGGACATCATTCCATTTTTAGTCCAAAATACAATCAACTCATTCCTTTCAAAAGCCAGTCCATTGTATGAATGTATCATAATTTGTCTAATCCCCTATATGTGTACATTTATACTTGTGGCCTAGTTTTTCACTATTACAAATGTAATAATGGGGACATTTTCAAGTTCTTAGAGGCTAGTAGGAGCAATCTTGCCTCCTAGGTGGAGGTGGTTTGGTAAGCCCTGCCTGTAGGGTGGATGCTAGCTTCTGGGCCTGGCTTTTCAGGACTGGCCACCAGAATTCTTGAATGACTAGGACCTGGGAGGAGCCACAGGGCTGGCCGGAGGCCAAGAGAAGAGGCAGATCTTTGGGAGATTTTCCAGTGAAATGCCCCGGAGAGATGTGACATCCCCTTGTATTCTTGCCCATCTCAGAGCAGATACAGAAATCCCTGTGTTCTCGCTGTGCCTGGATTCCTGGTGGAAGTCACTGGCGGAGCGGGTTGTGCATTGAGGTTGCTGCCTGTGGCATCTCAGTCTTCATGGATCGGCAGCCATATCCCTCCGCTTCCTTAGGGCAAATTCCCACAAGTGAACTTTCTTGT